AAATTAGGAGGAGAATACTTCTTTGCTTTACATGACATTCTTCAATAGGTCCTATCCTGTTCTTTAAAAGCAAGAGGTTGTTAAATAATCTATCAATAAACTGTGAAGAAGTCAAAGTTTCCCTATCTGTTTTCTGCCTGAAATCTTAAGAACTTGCCACATTTTCGTTGTCAAGAAGCCTCCAAAGAAGAGTCGAGTTCAGTTGAGCCTGAAACCATTGCTAAGAATGGGATGTGCTTATTTGAATTATGTAGGAGGAACATGTTCTTGCAAGGGAGTCAATATGTTTTCTGCTTCATTGAATAGGTTATTAGATTGATGTAGTTTATTTGTTGAATGATGGCATTGGTTTTAGAAATAAATGAAGCAAGAAGCATCAACTTAGTTATTGATGATAATTTATTGCTATTGGTCAGAAAAGCATTGAATTTATCAGAGGGTTTGTCATTTAGTCAGGGTTAGCTTGTTTTAGCTGGAGCAGAAATGTAGTTTACATTTCAGGTCCTGAAATATTTAAGCGTGAAGGAGAATGAACAATGAATTGGCTGGTAGTAATGGTCTGTGAACTGGGTAGACCGTTATCGTGAGTTGGGGATTATAGAATTCAAATTTTGAATGTTGTAGAACAATATAATGTAAATGGATTATTTTTGTCTATGAATACAACTAACATGTTTCTGGTTTGGCCTCTTTAATGACCGTATTTGTTTAAAGTTGTAAAGTGGAGAATGATTAATTGCTCTGATCATGTTTTTGGTTTTCATATTCATGCTTTTTATTTGATATCATGCAAAGGCTATACCTATATACCACTATACCTGTGGTGCTGTTTTGCAGCTTTTAGAAAATGGTTTGTGAGTTAAACAATTTTTATTAATTTTAATACACATTATTTTAATCAGTCTCTTAACACTTAGATTTTCTTTCTAATAGCAGTAGGCAATGTTAAACATTACTGCTATGATACCTATTGGCTTTATCTTTTGTTATTTATCTTGCTGATGTTAGGAAGTATTCTCTAATCCCCCAGACCTCTGTTCCTAGGTAACAGTCAAAAGCTGTGCCAGCAGAAGTGGTCCTGCCAGGCCAAACCCATGTGGTTTGGTGTTATTCACTATGATCCATATGGTCAGGGTAGAGATTGTCCCTAGAGAGGTGTTAACACTCAACAACCCAACCTCCTCCTACTCTTTGGAGAATTGCTGGATGGCTCCTGCTGCCTGCCCATGTGTGAATCTTGATTAATTTTTCATTTTTAATGAAGTTTGATCATGTTTATTATTTCACATGATTGACTGCCTGGTACTCCTTCCATGTAATTGATAAAGCCCATATTTCTTCATCTGTCTCTTATTTCTTCAGGGTAAAGTTGTGAAATTGTGTGATGTGGTTAATATTAGATTTATTGGTCCCAATAGATGTATAAATTATCTCTCTTTCTCTCCACAGGAAGTTCTACAGACTTTGACCAAGTTTTGTTTCCCCTTCTATGTGGACAGGTAGTGTTAGCTTTTCAAACTTTACAAGAAAATAAGCTTGTCAATAAAACCACTGTAGAAAATAAAAACCATACCTTTCTTAATGTTCTGTCTGCTTGACTGTGATTTAAAGCACCCAAGTGCAAATTATAGTCTTAGAATCACTTTTTCCTGGGGTTTTTATGGGCACCATCAAAAAAAAAAGTTTTAAAAGTTTGAGCTGTTCAGTGGCAGCAGTAAGAGTGCATTTTGTTTTACTTCTAAGTGATGCTTGGATGTGAAAATGCTTTGGGTAGTAATTGTCAAATATGCATATTGATATCAAATCTTTGTGTGCGTATGTATTTTATTTCTTAATTGCGAAAATTTGGGCAGAACAATTAAGTGCTATACATTTAAAGGCCTCTTGATCTTGCTGGAATGCTGGTGCTTTAGTTGGCTGCTTAATGTGGCTTCTAATTTTTTGGGGGAAAATTGTAAAGTAAGCTACAGTGGATTTGATAGGAACTGAGAATATTTAATTCTTGTAATTTAGAAAGCTCCAGAAATTTTAATTTTTTTAGTTTTGCTTTTACTGTGAGTTATTTTTGATGGTTTTGTGAAAAGAACAACCAATGAAATTTTGAAAGGATGCACCACTGCTCATATCTACGAGACCCATTTAATTGGTTAGAGTCCCTTCTCTGGGTCAGCTAACACACTGGGTGGCTCTGATTGATCAAATTGACCTTAACTGTGATTAAACTGCTAGAAATCTTTTTCTCATTTCAGTGAAATCTGTGATATTTACAGTAGAAATTGATTTTCTTTATAAATCAACATCCATTTCTAATATCACTTCTTGTTTGAGCCATTGTTAGGGTTTTTTTTTAAGATTAGTTTTTCATTTTTTCGTACACCCATAGGCCAGCTGGTATTTATGAGTTATCCTGAAATACTGTTCACTAGTTTCTGTGAATGGAGATGAAATCTCACTATGCTTCTCTGGAGATACGAGTCTACATAATACAACCACTGCTGCACTTTGTCCTCCGCTGTAGTAACCTGGGGTTGGAGGAAGCTGAAAGCTTGAATGGATCATGCAGGCGATATGTTCTTTCAACCCTCCACGTGGTTCCTGCAGATCGGGGTTCAGAGACATTGGTGAGGCGCTGCTGGAGACAGCTACTATTACCAGTGCCTCTGCTGTACCTGATTTGTACATAAAAAGAGAATTTGAATATCCTGGGCTGTCAACAGGAGCTACTTAACCAGTGCTTGTTGATTCAGATGACCTTTAAAAGCCACAAATACTACTTGTAATTTGGAATCACTTTTTGCTGATCATCTTTTTCCTTTCCTAAAAGAAGTACTTACATATCTTTTTGTCATGTCTGTGTTTCTAGTAGAGATATTTATGTTTACTATGTGTAGGTTTATTGTACTTTGGGATTTTTTGTTTTGTTTTGTTTGTTTTCCCCAGCAATATACTATTTTGGAAGATAAGAACACTGAAAACCCGTATGGGGTGCACATGAGAACATAATGAAAAGTGATCCCCATTTCTGGATTCGCTTGTTCGACTGAGTATCACAGACTGTCTCTGAAAAGACTGTAAACCAACGATTTTGAACATAAAGGAGAGATTGTAGCCCATAGCATACTTAATAATTTAAAATTAAGAATGGACTTGCAATACGCCAGAAGGTAGAGGACGTCCCAAGTTAAGGATATGGCAGCTGAAAAAGATGCGCGTGCTACTTCTGTTCTTGATGTAAAAACACACGTGCACACATGTGCATGTGTGTAGGGGTGTGTAGGTATATATATCAATAAATACTTGTTGTAGCCCTCTATGATGTAAATTTGACTTAGCTTTGAACTATATGGAGACATTAACCTGCCAGTTACAGGCAGAAGGTAAACAGTCTTATAACACCGAATGCAAATTTATTTAATGTGGCCATGATAAAGAGAAAAAAATATAATGCATCTTAAGTGCAAAATGTTCTTCAGCTTTTAGCTACTTCCAAGTTTAGAACCGATTGAAAACTGGTTCTTAGAGACGATTTCTGGAACTCGACAAATGACGAATTTGCACTAGTTGGTCTTTTCTCTTTTCTTTCCTTATTTACTGTTAACCAACTACTGAGTACTTATTTATACATTTCTTATATTGCATTTAAAATAAAGTTACTTAAAGTGGTGAGCAAGTAGCCCCATAATGAAATTACTTCAGACAATGCTTCAATATTCCCCTCAGTCTTCTCAGTGAGCACTTTTTCTACTTTGAGAGGAAAAGAAATTGCTTCTAGAAGAAATACTGTCCTCAGCTGTATGTCAGAAAGGTCCTTCCAGTCTTGTCTCAAGTTAACTAGCACTCTCTAGTGGGATTTTATCCCTCTGTATGTGCCTGGAAAGCCGTATGTTGTATGAGATCTCCAGTTACTGTAATTCTTAGTGCTCAGGCTGGGTTTTTTAATATATATAGTTTTGTTCGTTCTGAATAAAAAGAAGAGAGAGAAACACTGAAGTGGTTTCAGTAAAGGCCTTCCAAATACTTAGGCACTATTCCCAGTTAACTAGATTGTTGTCCCTTGTTAGCTGTGACAATTTTAGCATTAGAATCTCTCTGCAATGTTGAGAGTTTTAAAAATTATTATTCTTAATATAACAGTGGAGATATTGGCTCGTTGTTCAAATAACTTAGGAACATGGGATAATACCTTCTGTTGGAATAATACTGTGTAGGATGTCTCTTCAGGATCTGTGGAAAAATGATCACTATGAATTACGATGAAGAGATACTGATACAAATGGTCAGAAATTCAGTACTTAAAGGAGGCTTATAAGAAAGACGGGGACAGACTTTTTAGCAGGGCCTGTAGCGATAGGACAAGGGGTAACAGTTTTAAACTAAAAGAGGGCAGACTGAGACTAGATAGAAGGAAGAAATTTTTCACAGCGAGGGTGGTGAAACCCTGGCCCAGGTTGCCCAGAGAGGTGGTGGATGCCCCATCCCTGGAAACATCCCAGATCAGGCTGGACGGGGCTCTGAGTGACCTGCTGGAGTTGAGGATGTCCCTGCTCGCTGCAAGGGGGTTGGCCTAAACAGCCTTTAAAGGTCCCTTCCCACCCAAACCATTCCATGATTCTAATTAAATGCGTAGTCACTGAGGAATAGATGCTACTTTCCCTATCAGCAGCTCAGAGCCCGGAATAGCATTGTCAGTCACTGTACTTAGGTTTTCAAGTCCTGCTAGAGTCAAGTCCCCAGTTTATACCCTGTTTGTGAGGACTTTTACTTGGGGAGATTTAATTTGTGTAACTGCGTTCTGTGTTATGTGCAGAATCTTTAGGTTTACTTCGGAGGAACTTGCCAACGTGTCACAGTCGTTTAATAAACAAGCTTCTCCCAGCTGCAAATGAAGCATGTTTTTCCCCATTCCATAATTTTAATTGTCAGCTAGAGTGCTATTTCTCACACATGCTCTGCTCTCAACCTTGTTAAAATTAAGCATATAATCCCCTTTTAAAACACCATACTAAAATCACCATAGTAACATTACATCCAAGCTTTACAGATAAAACACAACACCAGTAAGGGATTTTTTGGTATCCCCTAGCAGCTCAGTATGGTTTATGGAAATGGTTGCTCTGTTGACATTTAGATTTCAGGAGGATGATAGTACTCACACTGTCTAATTCTCAGACTACTGAAATACTTTTAAATAACTGTCTTTTTGTTCATCTGTGAATTCTGAGCACTTTTTTATCTTCATCACTGCATGTTTTTCCTTCCACTGAAGGATTCTTCTTTCTAAGCTGGACAGTGACATCTTTCCAATCCAGATGCAACTTTTACTTCTGAAAGTCTATTTTTCTTTTCTTTTTTTTTCTCCAGGCACTGAGTGTATAATCTCCTGCATAAATTGTTTATTACATTGTATATGGCATCACAGAAGGGAATATTTGCTCACTTTTAAGCTGTGTGACTGTTAGTTAAATGGCCTTGAATTTAATGGGTTTTGTGCTTGCTGTTAGTAGGAGTGACTTGTAAAGGTGCACATGTAAATGCTAGTCAGCTTTCTCAGTTCTTAGTAAACTTAAAATAAACTAGAACATAACCTGAAATAAGTGTTAATTTCATACTGTTATGAGATCTCAAATAGATCTGAAATTGGATGAAAAGTCGTCTAATAATTACAGTATCCCAGCTTCACACTAAATGTCAAAATTTCTGTTAAACAGTGAAACTGGATCTCTGCAAACTGGGAGGTGAATTGGGCTTTGTTTATGTGGAATCTACCATCACTGTACATAAGCATTTGATTAACTTTAGACAAATGTGGTAATATCTCAAGAATGTCCTTCATTTTGTTAATAAGTAGCATTCAGAAAGTGCCATGCTTTAAATGTAAAGCATCTTTATTTTGATCTTATTTTACCATCTCAAGCATCACCTATTAGTGGTAAAATACAGTTGTGAATTACAGTATTTTTAGAGACATGAATTTTTAAATGCTTGGGTTCAGGGTTTTTTTTTTGTTTGTTTTGTGGGTGGTTTGGTTCTTGTTTGGTTTTTTTTTTTTTTTTTTTTTTTTTTGGTGGTGGTTGTTTGTTGGTTTTGGTTGTCTTGTTTTGTTTTCCAAAATTGTGTTTTTTTCCAATTTGTGCAAATTTTCCTATAGTGATACTTTCTGCTGTGGTGTGAGTGGGAGCCAACATTTAAGAATCTTACTGGTTCACTTGTGCTATTCTTGAAGAGCCGTTAAGATCTTGCAGATGAGACAAATGACTCTTAATTTTGAAAAACCATATAGAAGTCCCACAAAATTATTTTTATAGTCATGGCTGGCTTTAGCACAGTGTATTTTTTTATTCTAGTTTATCTTTTCTTCCTTTGCACACTATTCTAGTCTTTTAACTGATTGCTGGTTGCTAGAGTAAAGGAGAGGACTTGGCATGGTTCCAGTTGCTGAACATTTTGGAATGATGTATCTGGTGTACAGGCAAAATTGGTAGATGGATAATAAAGCTTCTACAAGTCAATATCCAAGTGTTGACGAAGCTTAGCATGTTATTAAACATTGCGGCTTCCTCCATGAGGACAAATCTGAAATGAAGAGTAATAAAGAAATATTTAGGTTATATGGGAGAACATGACTTTGGTTTGTACCGTGGGTACTGCATTGAAGATGGTTGATAGTCATAATCATTTTCGTTTAGTGTCCTCCCACACTTAAAATATGGAACAAAAAGCCCAACCAAAACCACTCCTCCCTTACCAAGCAACTAGCATATTTAAGTTTCTAGAGGGTGCATACTCTCAAAGTTAATTTCTCAGAAAACCTCTGCTGAAAGAGGAAATGTTGTAGGTTCAATGACTTAGACTAGATACTTTTGACACAGAGTTTAGCTCAGCATTAATTTTTTCCTCTTACTCTTTATTTTCAGCCATGCAGTTAACCAAGTTGGGCAGAACTTTACATTTGTGCTTACAGACATTGACAGCAAACAGAGGTTTGGATTCTGTCGCTTATCTTCTGGGGCCAAGAGCTGCTTCTGTATCTTAAGGTAGGTCTGTGGTTTGGCTTTTGGCTGACTCTAGGAAACAGTGTTTGACTTTGCTGTGTTACACTGCAATTATAATTTCCAGCTGTTCAAAATTATTTTCCTATCTGGTCCTCAAAGTCACTGCTCTTCTGCAGAAGTGATGCAAAATATCTCGCACTTTGAGTTCCTCTGTAGATAACTATATTTGTTTGTAGTCAATGTTCTTGAGTTAACAATGTGGAAAAAAAAAAAGTGTCTCTGCAGTAATTTGATATGACATAGCATGGTGGCAGCTGTTATCTTTAGCTGTCACAACTGATCTTGTTAAGACATTTTGTGGACATTTGTATATGCAAGTTTTACTAACAAAGCATCTGTTGGTAACTGAGAGAATGTCACTGATGCTGTCCACATCCTAGAAGTTTGTATGTATGAACTTTACTCTGTCCCATTGAGGGTTTAGTGAAGTTTGTCATAATAAAGATCGTTAGCGGAAGTTGGGAACAATGCGTTTCACATAAAATGAGCAAAGAGGCTCTGTCATAGTTTTTGATGACCTCCCACAGACATGTTGAAATGCCGTCTGTAATTTTCTATTTACATTTGCTGTAAAAAATGATGCAAGTAAAATCAGTTGTAGTATCTACCGATATATTAGTCCCATTAAGAATTTCTGTGGATTGAAGGTTTCCACATGGCATCTGGCCTCTCTTGTTCTAAACAAATTTAAGAATTGTCTGTCTTCTGCTTTCTTCTTTTTGCATGTTCATGAGAAATTGGAAGTTTTGGAGCAATGGCCCAGGTAAAGATAGCTCAGAGTTAACTGTATGAACAGCCAGCTAGGTGACTGAACAGTTGCCCAAGCAATCACAAATGAGAATAATTTCCTCTGAGCAATTGTAGACATCTGTCTCGGTTGTCTCTGGTTTGCTTTTCATGTGAGAGAATCTAGTGTAAGAACAAGAAGAACTTGTCTTCATCCTATGAGTACTGTATATTGCATGTGACAGAGTGGGACCGCCTGTATATAGGTTATTGAATGTGACTCCTCTAGAGACTTTCAGGGATAATCTTGTAAAATACAAGAGCACCTATGAAGTACAAGGACACTTCGCATTTCACTGGGTTGCGTACAGCAATGCCATGGAATCAATTTCAGATTGAGATATGTATTTAAAATGAATGTCTGTGCCATTTGTGCTGGCGCTGGACTGGTGAAGATGTTTTTTGCCTTGTACTTCAGCATTATGCTGATGGCAGTGATCTGCTAACTAAGTCTTCACTGAAGAAGCTTAATACATGGAGAAATCATTGTGAAATCTACCAAAATTACTAATTAAATTTGTGAAAGGCAGGGTGACAGGTATTTTCTCAGTATCTTCCTTCTTTCTTTCTTTTCTTGAGTAGACATTTCAGTCGTTATTAGCTATGGCAATCCAGGAATATGGACCGTACACTGAAGGCAGGAAAGTATTTCCCTAGCTCTTTCCCCATAGCTGCTACCCTGTGTAGTTGAGGTGCTGATTCACTCTCATGTGGGAAGCGTCTGGTTACGTAAGGTAATTTTTCCTGTTTAATGACAAATTAAAGGGGAAACACAGTTTAAAAAGAAAATCTGAATGAGGAGTAGTATGAGTCCCTTCTTGATCTCTCCTGGATAAGAGTTCTTTGCTGTCAGCTCCCTTATGTTGAGTGAATGCCAAGAAGAAATGGAGGAGTTATGTTGTAGTTAAATGCCTTCTGCTTCAACTCATAACCAAAAAAAAAAAAAAAAAAAAGAGAATTTAAGTGCAGTTACAGCAGTGGATGAATTGGTACTCTTAGCTTCATTCCTGTTGCTTCTTTCTCCTGTGAACTAATGAAAAAATGAAAGTTCGTCATTAATGCAAGCTTTAGAGGATAATGTAAATCAACATTGCACAGATTCACTTGCTCCATTCACTTGTTGATGTGAATCTTCTCAGTGTCCTGTATGAATTAAAGGATGCTGCATGGTAAATGGATAGGTCACAACATGCTGAAGAATGTGAGAATGATACGGAAAAGCCACTGGGGATGAAAAGAATGTTTGGTTGTTGGCTTTATTTTTTTTAAATTACAGGTTGGATGGCAGCATGCTTCAAGTATTCCTTGCTACTCTCAGCGATAGTATAAGAGTTACGTGATACTGTTTATTATTAGAGATGATATTCATGTGTTTATCAGTCAGAGATTTTATGGATCTGGCCATGGTAAAATGGTTTGGAGGTGGAAAATCATCACATGTTTAGATTTGTTACTGAAGTGGAACAGGAGAAAAAGGAAATTCTTTTCAATCAGCCAGGGCTTTAAAAAAATTCCGCAAAGCTCTGGAAGCAAAGTTTAAAGCCGAGACAGTACTCAGAAGGCCAGAAGTCAAGGTCTGGACTTTGAGTTTTAACGTGACCCAGCGACTTTTTCATGTGGATGCAAAGTACAGTAAAGCAGTTCTTGGAGTTCAATAGCAGTAAGGTTATCCACATGGATGTAGCTCCTATGGCCAGCAGAAAGGCAATTCTATTTTGCAGAGTAACTCTTGAGGCTATTTTAACCAGTACTGTTTAGAAATCTGCTTTCAAGATAATTTTTGTAGTTTTGTTCTTGCCTTGGATAGCATCACACAGATTTATGGAAATCTTTGATTAAGTTTAAAAGCTGCATCTTCTAGGTGTTCTGTGATTTTCTTTTAGTGTAGAACCACTGAGTCTGGCTCTCTTTTCTGTTTCCTTTTTTTCTTCACTTGATTTCTAGCTAATCATGAAACTACAAGGGTCAAACACTGTACGTAGCACAGAGCTGTGAGTGCTCTCTAGCACAGATGACTACTTTCTGCGTTTCAGACAGCAGAGGGCGGACAAAAGCACAAAACAAGTCTCGCAGATGGTCTGGTGGGGTTTTTGAGGTTCCAAACAGCGAAGTGAATTAAAAAAACCCCACAGGCTCACATACCACACATCAAAATCTCCTGGGTAACTTGGAATTCTGGACTACTTTTTTCAATGCAGTATGCTACAGAACTTAGAATGTGCTTTTTAAATTATTTTCTTTCCAAATGATGGATGCATATTGAGTTGAGAGCTAATGTCCAAGTCATCAAATTCTGAGTTCTAATTTGGTAATTTTTGTATCACAGTAAAATTTCCATGCGTTTCTTTCTAAGACTTCATTTACGGACTTCAGGACCTTGTCTACAATGAAATAAATCCTGATGGATATGCATTAAGAAACTGATTTTTTTTTTTAATTGTTTTTTTTTTCTAGAGGTTTGCTTTAATCTAACTTCAGAAGAAATTTGGCATGGGCTTTTGAGGGTGAACAATGTAGATCTGAATTTACTGAAGAGCTATAGTCTTTTATTTAAAAAAAAAAAAAAAGGTGTGGAGACATTCTCAGACTGCTGTTGCTCACTCTTTTGAGACGTCCTCTTCAACTCTGTCATCAGGCATGTCCCTAGTTTTGTTCTGGAATTTGTATACTTTTGTTTGTCATCTTCTGTAAGTCTTCTATGTATGTAGGGAGGTAATGTTCTTTCATTAGGGTAAAAGAGTCTGGAAGGTGTCAAAGAGGGTCAGAATTTGTTCTTGATTGCTATTTCCTGGTAATTGCAGTGTACTGAAAGATGGTGTAAACATACTGATCTACTGATCTGATCTCAGGAATGATAAGGAATGAAGTAACAGTATAAATTTATCTTTCTGCTTTTGTATATTCTTAAAGCACATAGATGTTTTCTGATTGTAAGAATTTTGTATGCTGAGGCTCTTAATTTTAATTTCTTCATTATTTTAATGTTAGATCTCCTTACTAGCTTATTCATCTCTTCAAATTTCTAGCAATTCTATCTGTGCTAAATTCTTCAGAAGCCGGTTTGTTGGTTACATTATGGACAGTGTTGTTCAGCGGCTGAGCTGTATTTGCCTCTTTGGCTAACTCCTGTGATCTAGAACTCTTAAGAGGCACAGGCATTGATGGATTTCAACATTCTTTTGATGGGAAAGTAATGCGTAAACCAGTTTGCATTAGTGCACTGAAAGGAGTGGAGTGTTTTATTTTACAACCTGGTTTCTCAAAGCTTAAGTGGACAAACGCTTTTGTATGCGGTCTGCTCATAATGGGACAGAGTTAAAAACCTCATAGCTGAAATTACTATAAGCATGATACTTCTGCTTGTACTGCTTCTAATGGTCTGAAGATGGGTGAAGAAAGTGAAGATAGGGTACGTAATGCTATGAAGAGACTGAACATAGGAAATTCTAAATTCTGCAGAGACATTGAAACATTAAATTCCTCCTTTTTTTTTTCTCCCATCTGAGAAAGATATCAAGATCTTGTATGAAGACATTATTTAAAAGTGTATATCAGTTTTCATTGTAGCTGGGGTTTTTGTCCTTCTGACTTTCATACGTTGCAGAATCTCGTGACTCCTGATAATTTTGTCTTTCTGTGCAGCCATGAAGGAAGAAAAGTTTTGCTTTAGGAATGTAAAACATGTTGTTAGCTCAGTCTGAATACTTTTTTGATACCCTTATTGCAGAATCTTTATATAAGTAAACTAACAAGTTTAATTTTTAAAACATATATTTTTATCTTTTGTTTTCTGAAATATTTCCAGAATTCAATGTAAGGACCCACTTACTGATGCTTGAAAAATTCTTCATTTTATAAACTGATAGGATCCAGTAATTTCTTCAAATGTTGATTTATTTTGCATTCTGACTATTTAAACTGTAAAATAAGTTATATGTCTATGACACACACTGCTTTTAAAAAAAGGCAATGCTGAATGTATGGTAACCTATTTAAATACACGAACTGGTTTAAATGTGTGAATCAGTGTAATGATTTCAGGTTACAAGACATAATAAAATGGCGACTTGTATAGTGCTATTTTTTGTATAGATAAAAAAATCACGTGTGTGTTCACCAAGTTGACCCTAGTATTAAACATGTACTTCTCTTATGGCAATGCATATTTGAGCTTAAAAAATAAATTTAGTAGTTTA